GCGGTCCCGCGGCGCGCGCAGCCAGCGCAGTGTGTCGCCCGCCCCCGCCCGCCAGACAATCCCATGTCCAGGCCAGCGCTGCTAAAGACCTGACACGCTGATGCGAAAACCAAACAAAAAGATCACGTGGTCGGTTCGACTTAGCGCGCCGCCGCTCGCCGCGTCGGCCTGGGTGCCTTCCTATGCAGCGGGGAGGATAGGGTTACCCCATGGTAGCCCTGGTTGAGGTTATTTCTCTGCTGTCCCCTGGTGGGCTCAAGGCTCAGTTCAGTGGTTTTTAAATTGAAAATTTGTCCATGCCACGGTCACGATAAGTTGCTCTCTCGGAAAAAAAAACTTCGGAGAAAAATTCATATATGTATGATGGCATCCCAAACACACCTTATATTCACAGGTCTGTTCTCATGTAAAGTGCCATAATTCGCGCACCCGCCCTACCCCCCAGTATACTGTATGTGCCATTCGCGGAACAAGCCGCCAGATCGTCCCCAAAGCACGATCGCCCTCCGTGTGAACCACGTGTGCGCCGTGTGTGTGTGTGACTGTGTGTCCGGTTCGCGAATGTCCGGTAGAGACGCCTTTGTGTGTGACACTCTCAAACAAAAAACGGAAAGACCAGAAATACGCGACCTGAATTAGGGTAGTTGGTTTTCTCTTCATTTTTGACATGAACTCTCCCTTGATTTTAGAGTTGGGGTGGGGGGGAGTGGAGGATAGTACCCCCCCCCCTCTCTCCTCTACAGTTACGTGGTTTTGGCGCAGTCCCTAATGAAGACGGTTCAAACTGTGAGGTAGAGCAGAGAGAGCACAGTTCGGGAGAAATGGTTCGCGCGAAAGAGAGAAGGGGCTGCTTCTCGGCTCATTGACCTGGAAGAGCTAACCGCTGCTGGATATTCGCGTGACGACGCCGCTGCCCACGCCGCCGCGCTGCTGGCCTACTTGGACTGGATGGGGTGGAGAAGAGCGCGGGCGGAAGGGAGGGAGGGAGGGAGAAAGGGTTGTTAGCCAGAGGGGGGGGGGGGAGACAAAGGCTCCCTTCAAGAACAGCAGCGGAACCAGGGGGGATTGGCTATTGTGAAGGTTTGTAACTGTAATAATGATGTGGATGTTTTCAAAAGTCGGATTCGCGCGAAAAACATAGATTCGCCATGACCCGCGAGCGCGTACGTACCAGCATGGCTGCTGCAGCGATTTGGGTTGCAGAACCCGGAGCTATGGCGACGGCGACGGGCGGTGCACGCGAGGCGGCCTTGCCAAAGTGCGGGCGGTCGCGCAGGGCGCGGGGCCGGCGGCGGGGCCGACCGGGGCCGACGTCACCCTGTAATGATGAGTGCGCGGCGGGCACCGTCGAGGCCGCCCTAGAGCCTCGAGCCGCCCTGACACCAGCCCCCGCAGCCCCGTGTGTGTGTAGGAATGAGGGGAGAACCTACAATGTGAATCCAGCAGCTAAGCGACCCTGAGTCGGCCTGTCCCGCTGAACTCGCGGACTAAGGACTAAGTCCTCCACCTACACTATGGGCACTTTGTAGTTTGGACGCGTACACGAAAAAAAGACACGCTGAGCCATATATTGACTGGTATGTATGAACAGACAAGCACATAAACTACTGTAACCACTATATTATCTGCTCTAATCAATCATTGGCTATGCCAGTCAAAAATTAGCTGTAAGAGCTTATCCCTTTCCCTGCCTTAGTCGAGGCCTACCTTACTGATGCAGGGAAACGAGGCAAATCATTATTTCATACAACTAATCTTTGACTGCCACAGCCAATGATTGATTAGAGTAGACAATAGTGGTACACGAAAACTCCGAGTGAAAACCCCCTCGGGGAAACCATGGAAAACCAGAAAGTGTCAGAAAGTACGGCTAACTTAAATCGACTGAATCTCTGGTTCCGGTTTACTTTAGATTCGTGCAGACGCTAAGCACACCAGCAGATTTCCATATTTATAAGTGTGACACACAGGGTCGGGTATGTGCGAGGCTGCTGTGGCACCACATCTCTTCTTTATCAAATGAATCACAAGTCAAACAGAAAGGGGGACGTTGGCGTCCGCATTAATGCTGTCGGCGACGACGGCGGTGGCTCATCGCGCAGGGGTGAGCTGGCCAGGGGGAGTGAGCAAGTGGGAGGAAGTGAAGGGGAGTGAAGGGGATTGGGGAGGGGAGCAGCAGGACCTGCTCGCTTCTGTGGCCTTGGAGAATCCAGCTGCCGTGCGAAGCAGAGCAGCCCTCTACTGAACTTGCTCTGAACTCCTCCTCCCTGTCGCGTCCCACACGCGGGTCACTGCCATAGTGCCTCACCCCCATTCTCCCTCGCAGAGCTCGAGCCGCGAACTCGAGCGACTTGGGGAGTGAGAGAGCGGGAGATGGGAGGCGAGTGAGTCACTTCGAGAGGCAAGGAAGGAGAGAAGGGGGGAGTTCTCTTTTGCCTATCGAACCTTCGGTGGCCCGAGGAGGCGAGATAAAGCGCGTTGCAGGGCGACCTTTGTTAAGCGCCTTCTCTCTCTCTCTCTCTCTCTCTCTCTCTCTCTCTCTCTCTCTCTCTCTCTCTCTCTCCACCCCTCATTACGCCCCTGCTCCGATGAGGAGGTACTGAGAACTCACGCCCCGCCCCGCCCCTCCGTTTTTGTCACCCGGCCTCTTTTGAGAGCAGCAGCAGGAGGAAGGCTTGTTATTATTTAGAGCAGTCATTTCGGTGTGTCGGACCGTGAAGAAGTCGTACACGGCGTGGGCCGACTGGACGGGCGGACTTACGAACGTACAGACGAACGTTCAGACAGGCAGGCAGACGGATAGACGGACACACCTCCGGCCGCCGCGGCGGCGGCGGTCGCGGTGCGCGGGCAGCGGCGCGCGCCTGCCGGGGCGTGGCGTGGCGGGGCGGGGACGCGGGTCCGCCAGGTCCGCCCTGCCCTGCGCGGCCCGGCCGCCGCTCCGCGCCGCTCACCTACAGTCGAGTCGCTGCCTCCCCGCCGGCAACACCCCGCCGAAGCCTCCCGAGCCCGCCGACAGAGAGAGAGAGAGGCGAACGGACCGAGCGAGTACAAGTCGTGACAGCGGCGCGAGCAGAGAGAGCAGACGAGCAGACTCGGTGGTGCCGCTCTACACTCCCGAAACCATGGCCCGGCACAGCAGCAGCCCCAGTCTTTGGACGCGCGCCCAGGCCGGCGTGCTATTGGTCGCCGTGCTCGTCCTCAGCGTCCCGCACCAGGCCGAGTCCCTGCCCGCCGGTGAGTACGCCCGTCGTCACCACAGGCATGCCGTCACGGGGAGCCACATGCCGCAGGCCCTGATCCTCCTGGAGTTACTGCGATTGTCCTGCCAGTGTGTGAATGTGTCATATCTCTCACCTACGCTTCTGCTCGTCGTGCGCTCGTGTGTGTGTGTGTGTGTGTGTGTGTGTGTGTGTGTGTGTGTGCCGTGACGGTCGGACAAGAGAGGCAATAAAGGGGTCCCGCACCGGCGCGTGACGGGACGCAAACGCTTTGCTCGCCTTAACAGCCTTACAGCAGCCGGGCCCCCCGCGGATGGACCGCGCTTGTACGGACTTTATGAGAGTGAGACAGACAACCCTTAAAGTTCGTCCATCTCTCTCTACAGCTGCGCGCGAAGCGGACCTCCTCGCGCGGCCTCACCGTTGTATGTCCGCCCTGGCCACACTAGCGGTCGCAGCCCTGCTCGCTAGCACCCCGCCCCACGCCCTGCCTCGCGGTTGGGTGCCAATCAGCAACGCGGGAGAGCAGCGTGAGGATGTTCCAGGCAAAGGCGGTTAGAGTAGAGGGCGGTGGGGGGGCTCTTTTTTATGGCCTCTGAACTGCTATATGTGAGCTTTGGACAAGTCTCCCCTCCGTCGAGTATGTACTCTGTGTCCCGCGCGGGTACAATCCTCCTCGGACCTCTATACACACCGAGTCCGCCGCCCGCCCAAACTTGGAGACTGATTGTTCGCGCAGGTTCCCGGGAAAGGGGATTGGGGGGAGGGGAGGGGGAAGCACAGGCATGCTGTCGGGGACGTTGGTCGTGTATTCTCTGCGACTTACGGCTTACGAATGCCACCGTGTGACTGTACCTGCAAATCCCCCAGAAGGAGCATGGCGGAAAAGGGGGCGGGGG